AGGTTGTTACATGTTTTCACAGGCCACGAGGTGAGTTGTTGAAGAAAGTTGCAGCGGAATGCATCTGTCTTAGGAACAGCGTGTTGTTTCAGTACCAGGGACCTGAGTTCAATTCTAGTCTTTGGTGACTGTGTGTGGCATTTGCATGTTCTCCCCATGACTGCGTGCATTTCTGCTGGGTACTCTGGTTTCCTCCACAGTCCAGAGATGTGTAGGTTAGGTGGATTAGCTGTGGTAAATGCAGGGTTATGATAGTGTGGAGGGCTGGTCTGTGTAGGATGCTCTTTGGACTTTGGTGCAGACTCGTTGGACTGAATAGCCTCTTTCCACACTGTAGAGATTCTATGATACTAGTAAGAAACAATCCTTAAAGCAAAAACCAAAAGAATTGCGGATGCTGTAAATCAGGAACAAAAACAAAACTGCTGGAAAAGCTCAGCAGGTCTGGCAGCATTTGTGAAGGAGAAAACAGAGTTAACATCTCAGGTCCGGTGACCCTTTCCTTAAAGCAAAACGAGTTGAAAGTTCTCTTTGAGTGAATTAATTTGAGTTCATTAAACCACATATCACCTGCTTCAGATACTTTTTAATAAACCAGTTCAGAGATGCTATCACACACATCTGGAGCAGGTGGGGCATAAACCAAGTCCTTCTGGCTCAGAGTTAGGGAAACTACCACTGCTCCATAACAGCCCTATATCACCTGATTCATTAATAAGGCACCTATGACAATCACTTGAGGTGTTCAATGATTGTAGATAGATCATTAAGGGCTACTTGTTTGAGACACTGATTTAAAATAGCTCGCAAGACATAAGCTAATCAATAGGCTCATCAAGTTACAATTGAAACATACAATCAAAGTTGAATTACTAGATGTTAGAGTGAGAAATACCTTTGTGTGTTTTTAAGCTCATGCCGCTGTGGTTGGAATGATCAAGCAGTTGTGAAGATAAGTGAAGTTACTTCAGCCTGTATCTTTCTCTCTCCACAGCACACACAAGCTTTGAGCTCTGCCTGTTGTTGGCTCTCTCCAGGTGTAGTTGGTGGTGATTTTAAAGAAAGACTTCAACTCCACAGCAGTGTCTACGTTTTCAAGTTGGAAACATTGAGAATATTAGATTCAACTTGAAACCAGCTGAGTAACTGAACTACAGACTATTTTTTTTTTATATAGATTTTAATTTGGTCAAAACATTTTAACTGAGAATGGAAAAATTCCAACTTATTTGGTGAGTTCACAAACTTTTTACTTTGAATTCCTTTGAAATGAAAATATTTTGTATTTACTGAAGTAAATTGCATCTCTTCAGAAATAATTGGATGCATGCAGTGGAACTATCACATTAAGTTTTAGCCTAAAAATTTGGGAGGGATTGACATAGTGGTTGTGTCACTAAACTGGTAACCTATAAACCCTAAGGTAATGCTGTCATGTCATGGGTTCAAATCCCACCATGGCTGTAGAAGTTTGCAATAAAAAAAATCCTGGTTTAACAGTGCCCATGTGTCAATTGTTGATAAAAAGACATCTGATTTACTAATTCCTTTTAAGGAAGAAATCTGCCATCTTTACCTGGTCTGACCTACATGTAACAGTGGACCCATAGCAATGTTGTTGACTCTCAACTGTTCTCTGGAAAATAAGTACTAACATAACCAGAAACACCCATGTCCCATGAAAGATGAAAAATTGGCAAATGACCCACTAGAACCATATTTGCATTCAAACCAAAGCTTTCACTGTAATTAGGCATCAATGAATCAGTACTGATATATTCTTGCATAGTAGATTGTACATACCATATCTAATTATTCATTTGTTACTGTAATTAGCCAAGTAGCTACATTATTAGCTGTAACACTGATCCTTTGTGTTTTTATTTTTTTTATTTTAGATGTGTAAAAATGATGTATGTTTTATGAACCCTGACTTTTCAGACTGTTTGTTTGTTTGGCTGAGATTTAGCGCTCCATGCATTAAGTGCAGGACAGGCACTTTCAGGGTCACTGCATCCACCAGAAAGAAACCTTGCCGAATCCAGCTCCAATCAGCTATTCAAGAGCTGACTGGTGATCTTCTTGGTGAATCATAAGCCTCGATACTGAAAATCCACACTAAGAAGCTGTTGGCCAATCAGTGGCTGGCAGCTTTTAGGTCCTAGATCATGTTGCTGGAGGCAGATATCATAGAGGCTTATACCCCAAGAAGGTAAGCACTTTTATTACCGATTTGACAAGTTGGGATTGTAGGAAGTGAAGTAACATCAATTGCAAGACCAGGACAGTAGCTTTCATCAGCCACACTCTTGGTTCCCTCATCTCTGCTCCCAAATTGGCTCCAGACCAGGATAAAGGGAGAACCCCATATCCTCCTATGTAGCAGGCAAGCTGTCCTGGTTTCCCAGTTAGAAATTCAGTTATCTTCCCCACCTCCTGGGAAAACAGGTAATCAGACTGGTAGCAAGCTGAGGCTCACAAGTAGCTGTTAATTGACCATTTAAGGGCATTAATTGGTGGAGTGTTTAGAAGTTTGCCCATGGACTTTCTCATCCAATACTTTGCCAAGGTAGGGCCATCTCAATCAATACTTCCAGAATCACCATCTGCCTTTCCACTTCTAGGAGATGATATTGTTCCTCTGCCTTATTATTTTAGAAATACGGAGTGCAAGTTAAGCTGATTAATAAATGTAAAAAGAGATACTTGAAAATAACCCAGAATTCTCTCTCGTGCAATTAGTTCTTTTCAATGTGGAGGCAGAAAGCTCAGTTTTGCTCCGGAGTAGGGGTGCTGGAGAGCATTTGACAGTGGTATGATCAGGTTGAACATGCTGCAGTTTGAATGTTTCTGTGAAGATGGGTGAATGCTGGCTTAAGCTGGTTAAAAGGCCTGCCCTGGTTTTAAGAGATTTCAGCTCAGTTTTTATAAAAGTTTGTTAGGCCCTCTAGTTGTTAACCCCTACATACCCTTCATATCCATCAAGCCAACTGTCATCTGCTAAACCTTCCACCCCATGCTACTTCCATAGCTGCACTCCCAGGATCCACTACATGCAAAACATGGATGCCAGGTGGCGATGAGAAAATAGACACCTAACAATCTAAGAGTACTGCCACTCATATAAACACAACAGAGAGGGAATTTTAAATCTCCAAGGTTTGTAATAAAAGCAAAGAAGACTGTATTCAATGATCACTTCAAATACATCTAATCATCTAACAGCCTTTCAAAACTGTCAGTCAATCAACTCAACTCCTCTCCAATCCTGACACTGATATCAATGGTCTTTGGAGCCTCTGAAACTCAGCCAAGCATTAGTAATTGGCTCATCTGTAATAGCAACAGTCGGGAAATGTCAACAAGGAACTCCATTTAAGTTGTAGGAGCAGACGGTAACTTTTTTCCTAAGCTGCACTAGATAGCTTTTCATTGAATACACTCCAAGAGCAGGTGTTTTATTTTTACTCTGACAGTGTATTTTATTTTTCGTCTTTATAGAGTTGGAGATTTAAGTAACATCAAGTCATGCCGCTTAAACAGACCTAACCAACCTTTCAAGGACATTTTTCCCTCCTCAATCGGCCCTGTCACCTTCTCCCACTGGCAAAAGTTGGATCTCCTGGAAATGGTGTGGGGATTTCCATATTTGAGTGCACCTGTCCCTGTAGTAAGCCTGACTCCTTAACAATCCATTCCAAATTTTGCAAAATACACATAATATTTCATATCACAAAGGTTAGGTGGTACCCTCTCCAGATCATTGAAATCTCTCTCATGAAAATAATGGCTCAAAATTATAGTATCTAACACAACTGCTAGAACTTGGTGAATATTCAAACCAGAGTATTTTTTAATAATAAAAATAGAATCCATATTGCAGCTTACTGCGAAGGTTGGGAAGAATTTAAAAAAAAAAAAAACTCATGTGCAATATCGATCTGGTTACTTTGTGCATGTGTTTCAAAAATCTGAAAATTGGAAGAAAGTATCCACTCTTCCATCTGCTATACCTCAGGGTCCAGGAAGTTAAGCCTTACAGTAACTTTAACAATAATTCTGATTTTAACATGAGAATAAAGGGAGCAGAATAGCTTGTTACCTGCTATATTTGGAGCTTAGAAGGCAAAATAAAGAAAGCCCAAAGCAACAGTGACTATGGATAAAACAGTAAAAAATAAATGATTGAAATAGAAAGAAGTTGAGGACATAGCTTAAAAAAAGGAAGCTATAAAGAGAATACTGTTTTTGTTTTTGTTTTGAAACTAAAACTCAGGCCTACAGTGAAGTGCAAAGCAAAGAAAAAATAAAATCAGTGGAATTGCAGGATGATTAAAGGAAGTAGACTTCCTCTTGTGTGAAACTCTGCTTAAATTTTGTAAAAAAAAAATGTTTGTATTGATTTAATAAGCTGTGGCCCTTATGAACCCCAATTCATTTTAATATGTTCAGAAAATACGAAGACATGTTGAGATGAAACCATGTAACATTTTATTGAAGGATTGCACAACAAATGGAGAACAGAGTATTGGTTTACTAAGTTGCTTTCCTTGTGTCCTCTAATTTATTCCCAATTTTAATATTTCATTGACACAAACAGCCTTTTATAAAGAAACAATTTTACAGGACTACATTTACAAAACACACTATATTGTACATTAAAATGTGTTCAGTCATTTTTTTCTTACAATGCTATGTTATGTTTTTGGCTAGTTAATGAAACTACCTTGCATGTTTTTTTTTATTTCCCCTACAGGAGGAAAACAAACTATAAAGACTGCATTCTTCAATTAATGTGCAAATTTGACATTTAGAAAATTGCTCATTCTTGTATAGGGAGCAGTGTTTGAAATATAAATATGCAGTTTAGCCTTGGGCTGAAGTTTCAAAGCTAAAGTTTATTATTTTTATAACTGCATATTATTTTAATTTTGTTCTTGCTGTGAGGACTGCTTATAACAGCCACTTCATTTTACAAATGCTCATCATGCATTTACACCATCAGATGCTCCCTTTGGGGTAACAGCTGCATCAAACCAGATGCACCTGTCTTAAACATTTACTATCATTATTATTCCATGACATTGACTATGTATAAATAAGTTACATACAGAGGGGTGGTCTTCACATAACATAAGCCACGGGTATTCTGTTAACCAGATGAATAATAAGGGGTTTCACTATGATAGTTGTAATCGGGGCAAACCTTCTGCACAAGTTTATAATCTACACTGTAGAAAGCTATATATATGCATATAACCTTGAATGGTTTGGAACATAACCAGGAAACATGACTTTGGGTCTGTTCCTGATAGCATATCTTTGAAGGATCATAATTACATAGTGCAGTCTTCTTCGCTCTGTCTGTTTTCTCATACTCGATTCGACAGTTGAATGTTTTGGACTCCTTGGTCTCCAGTGTTGACTGCTGGGAGAAGTCAAACTCCACGACCTTGGATGGTGGAACCAGGCTTACAGATACATTCCCAAGACCAGTCGAGTTGTGTCTAAAGTAAACGCTGAAAGTCCCGTTCCCGTGGTCAACTATCTTCCCAGTAATGAGAAGATTCAATTTAACTGTTTTGATGTTGGAATGGAAGTCTCCCCACCCAAACATTTTCTTGAATTTTCCTGTTTTAACAATGGGTCTGCGCTTGGTCCGTGAATGGGATTCCTGAATATCTGTTAGGTTGTTTAACCATGCCCATAAGTCATTTGAAGCTTTAATACGGGAAGTATCAGTGATGTCCTGTTTCAGTTTGGGACTCTCCTTCACAAACAGCCGCAATGGATTTACCCTCTGTGGATCAGCCAAATTATCAGCAAGTGTTTGTCCTGCTGCCTTGTCTCTTAATTCCAGTGTTCTTCCCAGATGATCCTCACGAGAGGTGACCTACAAGTGAAAAAACAAAGCATCAGTCAAGTCCAAATAGCAAATTAGCTCTCCCAATTCAATCTTCGGGTGCATAGTTTTTGTGTTTTAGAGTCGGATAAGTGACTTTTACCAAACATTACCAATTATTGTAAAGTTTCTATGAACACTTATGAACAGACAGCCAGTGAATAATGTGGGAGCAATTGTGTGGATAATCTAAATTTAGCTCATGTCTCCTACAAGCTGATGTGTATTCTTTTTAACAATCTATCCTGTAAGGAAAGAAAATTAACTATTTAATTTTGTGTGAGAACTGGGAATTGATAACCCTCTAATTTCACGATGCAGAAGTGATATTTTCAAAACCCATGAAAGTGGTGAAAAATTTGATTGAAAATAATGATTTCAGTTAATGAACAATTATTCCTCAACAGGTATTGTATTCTGAAAAGCCAACAAACGTCTTTTTGTTTTGGTTTTGATGCCATAAGTTCCTTGCATCATTACACACTACTACTGCAGAAAGAAATCATTACCATATACAGATGACACAATAATTTATCTTTCTTTTATAAACCATTGCTTCACAAATACAATGACCTCTATTTATCATTGCATTTGGATGTATTTCCAATGACAGTGATGGAAGTTCTATGGTTGATAATTAGGGTAGAACTAAGTGGGTGTATGTGTGTATCACATCACTCATGAATAAAACAAAGCCAATTCACCACCCACATGGTGTTGCTGGGTTAAGTGCACTGCATTGCAAAAACAGATAGTTGGAATAAATAAATGAACTGGACCTGAAATACTTTATTTTAGGTTGAAATCCAATCATAACAATCAGGATTGTGCCCAGTAGATTCCACAGGATTGACCCTGCTGGAGCTTGTGGGTTTAGTCCCAGGAATATTAGAATACTAGAATTAGGGGACAACGGCAGCAGGACAGCTGCTTTATTGATAATTTGGCCGATCCACAGAGAATAAATCCATTAATGTTTGTCAGGGAGAATCCCTAGCTGAAACAACACATCATTGATATTTAACTAGCAAAACCTCCAAGGTGATTTATGGACATGGCCAAACAACCTAATTAACATTCAGATATGGACCAGATGAGCATATCCTTGGTATCTGTCTGCCAGAAAATCTGCTGCCTCCCTGCCTCTTAAAGGAGGGCTGCCCAAAACTCACCGCACCCCAAGTTTTCAGACCAAATCTTTCTTGAAAAGAGATATAACTTTTCAGGGGCCTATGCTGTTCGCAGAGTTCAAATACTACTGCTAAATCCATATGTCATCATGCAAGTCCTTTACACCTCAAATCAACACCGGTCACTATTAATACACCAGGGCCTCTTGTAGCCAATGTGATGGGAGCTCATAAATTTGAGAATGTTTGGATCCAGTTACCATCTTCCTTGTGATGGATGGCCAGAGGTAGAGATGGTCGAGAGCATTAGGTTCTTAGGAGTGACGATCACCAATCAGTCCTGTTCCACCCACGTTGATGCGATGGTCAAGAAAGCACAACAACGTCTCTACTTCCTCAGGAGTCACGTAAAGACTCCTATCAATTTTTATTGATGCACCACAGAAAACATTCTATCTGGATGCATCACGGCTTGGTACGGCAACTATTCTGCCCAGGACTGTAAGAAACTACAGAAGAGTCGTGAACACAGCCCAGTGCATCACACAAACCAGCTTTCCATCCATTGACTCCATCTACACTTCTCATTGCCTCCAAAGGCAGCCAACATAACCAAAGACCCCTCCCACGCTGGTTATAATCTCTTCCAACCTCTTACATCGAACAGAAGATACAAAAGTTTAAACACATGGGCCAACAGATTCAAGAACAACTTCTTCCCTGCTGTTATCAGACTTCTGAATGGACCTCTCAAATTTGATATTGAATGTTGACCTTGTTCTTTGTGCACCTTCTCTGCAGTCGTAACATTGTATTCCTTGGTCTGTTCTATTATCCTTATGGACTTTGTATGGTATGATCTGCCTGTACTGCATGCAAAACAAAACTTTTCATTGCAACGAGATACATGTGACAATAATGAATCAAAACAAGAAGTCCCATAAAAGACAAAGGGAAACTTCTAGAAATGGAGGAGATTAAGCACAACCTTGCATCCATCATTTTCTGGAAGTGCTGGCAATCTCCAACTGTAATTATGGAAGAAGACTAGTGGAATCCCCGCAGAATCCTGGCCCTTTGTCAATGCTACATCAAAGGTTTAATAAGTTAAACCAGTACCCATAAACAGATACAAGTAAGGAAAAAGACCACACTATCAACTATTTGTCTGTGATACTAGTAAATGTTTAATAATCAAATGTTGGAGAAAAGAGCTTGTTGGAAGGAGAATTTATACAGTACTGGGACAAAACAAACAACTGACACATAAACTGTAAGGCTAAGCTTTCAGCAATCAGGAAAATAACATAAAGCTGAATTTTACTCCCTGATGGGAGTGAAGGTGATGGCCGGGCAGCGGAGGTGAGGGGGTGGCATGGTTCCTCGATGTTGCTTTGTCACTTGGGAGGTATCTCAGTAACAGACAGGGTAAAGTTGGGGATATGTGCCAGCTACCCAAACCACAAAGGTGGACTGCTAATAATTTGCATGATTTAGGATCTTGTTAGGGATCATTAAGTGGACCCGCTGGGGTTTTGCCAATGACAAGGTGCACCCCACACCCTACAACTGCTCCAAAACCCAAATGCATGGTTACACTGCCAGTTTCTTTGAGAGTACTGGCAGCTTGAGCAGCCATCGGAGCCCGATGCTCCATGGCTTTCAAAATGGATAATGGGCAGCAAATGAGTTCTTAAGAAGGGTCACTGGACCCAAAACATTAACTCTGATTTCTCTCCACAGACATGTGTTAGACATGCTGAGATTTTCCAGTGATTTCTGTTCTTGGGCAAGAAATTCAGTTCTCTTGGAACCAATGGTCCCTGTGGAGGGCCCTTCTCAGATGTACAGGACCTGCCATCTCTGGACACCAAAAACTTTTTATTTTCCATTATTCACTTTTGGGATGTGGACATCACTGGCTCGACCATTATTCATTGCCCATGCCTAGTTTGCCTTGAGAGGGTGGTGGTGAGCTGCTTCCTTGAACCAGTGTAGTTTCTGTGCTGTAGGTAGACCCACAACACCGTTGGGGAGGGAGTTCTAGCATTTTGACCCAGCAACACTGAAGGAATGGTGCTTTATTTCCAAGTCAGCATGGTGAGAGGCATGGTGGTGAACTTGCGGATGATAGTGTTCCCAGGTTTCTTCTGTCATTGTCCTAGATGGATCTGTACATGGTTTGGATGGTACTGTCAAAGGATGCTTGTCGAATTTCCATAGTGCATCTTGTAGATAGTACACACTGCTGTTACTGTGTATCATGGTGAAGGGATGCTTGTGGATGATGTGATACCAAACTTTGTCCTGGATAGTGTCAAGTATCTTGAATGTTGTTGGAGCTGCACCTATCCAGGTAATTGGAGAGTATTCATCACACTTCTGACTTATGTCTTGTAGATGATGAACAGGCTGAGGATAGTCAGGAGGTGAGTTACTCACTACGGTATTCCTAGTCCATGTCCTTCCCTTGTAGCCAGTGTAGTGAATCCTGTTCATTTACTGGTGAGTAGAAACCCTCAGGATGTTAATAGTGGGAAGTTCATTGTGGAAATGCCATTGAATTTCAAGGGAGGATGGTTAAATTCTCTCTTGTTAAAGATAGTCATTACCCGGCATTTGTGTGGCATGAATTTTATTTGTCAATTTAACTTATCTCTGTGGTGTTTAAGGTAATCTCTTTCTACGTCAGCAGCATTCACCTCTCTCAGTAGCACTGTTGAGGCATCAGAGATGCTGCCAGTTTGCCATTCTTCATGTACAGGGGGCTGCAACAGGGAGCCAGTTATGAGATTGTCTCCCAGAAAATCACCAAGTTGGCTTGTTCTCTCACATGTATGGGCTCAGGATGCCCATTTGATCCTGATGTCATTGTTTTGAGATTTGAGGAAAAATTCAACCTTTAGTTCCTGGGCTAAATAAATTCTCTGGAATTAAGGAGGGCAACATACTTAATTTCTCTGGTCTATCTTCTGTGTAGGGAACCTAAACTTGCAGTACACACATAGGATATACCATTATATGACAGAAAAGGCAGTGGTATAGGATAAATCCTATACAGGGGAGGTGCCAGGTTAGTGATATTATTGCTGGATTGTTAATCCAGATAATGCAGGCACCTGGGTTCAAATCCTGTCACAGCAGATGGTGGAATTTGGATTCAATAAAAATCTGTGATTAAGAGTCTAATGATAACCAGAAATTGATTGTTGATTGCCAGGAAAAAACCATCTGGTTCACTAATGTCCTTTAGGGAAGGAATCAGCCACTCTTACCTGGTCTGGCCTGCAGGTGACTCCAGACCCACAGCAATGTTGTTGATGCTTAACTGCCCTCTGGGCAATTATAGAGGGGCAATAAGTGCTGCCCTAGCCAGCAATGCCCTCATCCCATGAATCAATTAAAAAAAATCAGAAAAATATTCAATTAGCTGACTTGTGCAAAGTTCACACAATGCAACTGAATTGTGTTTACACAAGTTGACGTAAAGCAACATATGAATGTTTGTTGAAAACCAGAGTGAACAAAATTTCCAATAAATTTCAGTGATCCAAGGTTACTGCAGCAAAGACTCCATTTTCCCTCTTTGTACCTGCAAAAATAAATATATACCCTCATCGAGAAAAAGGTGAAACGTAGGAGAAACAAGAATATCTTATTCAGATGATTGGCATAAAAACAGATGAGGTGCATAAAAAGAAGCAGCAAAGATTAATGCCTTCTAGTAAATACCACAGTGTCAGTGTGCAGTACTACAAGGGGCAACTCTCCCAGAATAATGTGCAGCATATAGAAAAAGGCCTGAGAATCCATTAAGTGCATGCACTGCAGATCGTTTTTATAAAATGTCAAGAGCAATCA